AACGATGCAGCCTTTGGGCGTCCGCAGCTTGGCACTCGGCAGTCGCTATACTGCTAACCAAGTAGCTTAATACATTTTCACAGTGACTTTCATCCCGTGTGAAATGCTGAATGAAATGGGCCTGCAAGACTGATTACCGCGCCAGCAGACTGCAACTTTGGCTTGTCAGGATACTTGTGTGACATTTGTCTCTTGTTAAGCAGCCCCTCGCACAAATGTGAGGGGTCGTACTGTGCCGAATAAACAGACCGTACAAAATGGCCCAAAGACAGGACCGAATTTTAACGCGCGGATGCGCGCGTGCGATTCGCAAAATGCGCGTGTACAAGTGTATATAAATTTTCTTAGAAGAAAGGCCGCGGTGCGACAGCGCGTTGCGCAGGTGGGCATGTTGGCCACAGGCGCACGCGGCATGCAGGCTGGACTATTGCGTGGCTGCTTTGCAGTAATTGAAATCACAGAAAGCAAACAACGTAGCTTGCAAGACTGGGCGCTTGAAACGACCGCGGGAAGAGGAAGCGTTTGGCGAAGCGGCAGTTTGCGCAAGCAAACGGGCGCGGATTCGGTAGTGCAACGTATACAGCACCTTTTTCAGAGTAAAGTCAAATTACAAAGTTGCGCAAAGTATAACATACATAAACTTAATTAAACATAAGAACAGATAAGACGTTTAGAGCCTTGTCGGTGACATGGACGCCGCTGTTGGCTTGGAACAGCTATTTGCTGTGCATAGGGACGTGCCCGCGTTAGCCGTGTTGCAACAGCTCAGGATGGATTTCAGCCAGCAACAGCCTCAAGAGCTGCTGCACAACCACCGGGAATGTCTTCAGTTGGGCACATGTAGTTTTGGTCGGCGGGGTCGAGCAACGTACGCAATGCGCACAGAAACCAAGGTGCAGCGTTCTGTAACATCGCCAACATATCCGGTACGCGGTGGCAGGCTTGCCGAGCACGAAATGAAGGGGGGGTCGCATCTCACCATTCAACTAAGCATGCATGTGCTCGGTTGAATGCTCGGTAGCGTGCGAGTTTACCCCTATCAGGATGTTTGTTGGCATATCCCTCCAAGCGAGAGGGCTTGCACCTATGTT